GTCAACATTTTTCCTAGAATGTACGTTTCAGGAGACACTTTTACCATCTAATCAAAATCATATTTTACCTAATAGGTAGAAATAAGGTTATATCGATAAAATTTAGAAAAATAATGACTGACAAGTAATATTATGATATTTTATTGGTTTTTGGGTAGAAATCTTAGGCACAAAAGACTACTTTAATTCAATAATGATTGATTGGTTATCAAAACTAAAATATTAGTTTAGCCAGAAAATTTATTGATATAAAATATTAGTTTTAAAAAGATTGATTCTTTATATTTTCTATAAAATTTATAATATTTATCGATATAAATATAAAAAATAGTTTTATATTAGTAAAAACACAAGATTCAATTATTTTCTAGCAACATGTATACATAAAATATGATTGTTATATTTGAAAGCCATTGATGCTAAGCTACATTTTCATATCAGATGGAAGTTGAAAAGACACTGGACTCGAACTTTCAACTTGCGCAACATGCAAGTAGGGATGGTAAACTGGTAGAGCGGGTGCATATATTCTTTTTTTTCTATTTTTATACCTTTTTAATATTTTTGTATTATCACTTATCTACATTCGTTCACGTGGATATATTTTTAAATTTGTCTCCACACCTACTATCCAACTAGATATTCATCACTCATCTCGTACTTGTTTATACCTGTCAATATCTGCCTGATAGCAACCTCACATATTACATAAGAAACAAAATATAAAACAAATACATCTATTGAAAAACATAATAAAATAAAGGCTTATATCATAAATAAATATATAAAATATACTATTTTTTCATTTAAGTACTTAAAGTATTATTTGGGTCAAAATAAATACCTAAAATCATCTTTTTAGTTAAAATAGACACTTAAAGTATTTTATGTCAAAATAGGTACCTAGATTATTCAAAAAAAATTATCTAAATTCTAAAAAAAAGTAACATGTGACATTAATTAAAGAATACTTTAGGTATTTGAATGAAAACAAATTGGATACATTAATACCTATTTTGTCCAAAAAAAATACCCTAAGTACCTATTTTGATCAAAAAGACGACTTTAATTATTTATTTTGATAAAGAAATACTATAGGTACTTAAATGAAAAAGATGATATACTTTAAGTATTTATTTGCTATATAAGCTTAAAACAAACCAATGTTTAATTCAATTTATACCCTAACATTCGATTAAGTTACAAGTTATGTTCTATAAAAGCTTAAGATTTATAGAATATTCTTTGAAATTATACTTAAATTCATAATGATCCAAAATTTTTATGGTGGGTAATTAGTGGGCATGTGGATGCAGAGTGGGCAGATGCGGAGATGATAAGGTCTTAAACCTATAACCTAACCCCGCTACCCACTAAACTTATATCTATCTTTGCTCTAATTAAAGTTGATACAATACGAAATCTAAGAAATTATACCAGTCTATCATCCCTACATGCAAGATTATAGCCCCTCGATAACATGTTTTTGATAGGTTTGGCGATGTGGGATTCGACGTCAAATTTGTTAGATTTCCATTTCACTCACTTGATGTGATTAACTTCCCATTAATGATGTAATTTATGGTATCCTGGCATGTTTAGCTTAATTCATTTTCATATTGGAGAGGCTGATGGGGGACCATGGACCAGTAGGACAAGGCTTATCCTAGTTCAGTTTTGGTCCAATGAGCCCGTGCGCTTTCAGAGCAGAGTCTGACCTAATAGTGACATAACTTGTACTTTAAAATCAAGTTTTAATCTTCACGCTGTGAATAAAGAAAATGCAAGAAAACATAAATCCAGTCGTTATTTTATTATATCGTGTATATGGCGTTTTGTTTTGTTATTTTATTATATGCCAATAACAAGTTAAAATCATTTTTGCATCTAGGGATGTAAATGAGATGAGACAAATCATGAATTACGAGAGATCGATTCGATCAAAATTTGATAAATACTCAATTTAAATTTTTAACGAGTCAAAACGAACTACTTGATACTTGACTTGAAAAACTCATAAACAGCTAAAAAATATAATATATTAAGATTTTTTTAAAAAAAATTATTAATAACATTAACAATTATGTGTTGATTTTTTTAAATACAGTATAAGATTTCTATGTATTTGAGGTTCGAGTTTGAAGTTTCAATCGAGTTAAATTTAAGATTTTTTTTTCATTTCGAGCATTTTCGAGCTTTTACAAGATTCAATTCATAATTTTGAGTTCGAGTCGAACTTGAAAATTTTATACTCGCGAGTTTTCAAGTCAAGTCGAACTCCATTTCAAAATTTTTGAGTACAAATATTTATTTAAAATTTTATTCTCCAATTATTTTTATTTATAAACATACAAATATTTATTTAAAATTTAAAAAATATACAAATATTTACTTATTTATGAATTCTTCAATTACTTGTGTATGTGTTATGTTCGTAGAAATAGATCCGACAAAGTGAACCATGTTAAGATTTTGTTATCATCTATTCTTTTGATTATTATCTTGTAAAATGATTGTAGTAAATTACTATGCCATTCCTAACGAGTTAATGGCTTCAATTTGAGACGTTTTTTTTTAAATGAAAAGGTTTCAGTTAGGGGTGTAAACGAGTCGAGTCGAGTTCTAGTATTACTGAGCTCGACTCGAAAACTCTGAAATGGAGCTCGACTCGACTCGAAACTCGCGAGTTTAAAATTTTCAAGCTCGACTTGAAATCCTGAACTGAAGCTCGTGAACAGCTCGGAAAGGCTAGAAATGAAAAAAAAATCTTAAACTTAACTCGATTGAAGCCTCAAACTCAAACTCAAACATAAACCTTAAATACATAAAATCTTACAGTATTTTTAAAAAAAAAAAATACATAAATATTAATATTATTAATAATTTATTTATTTTTAAAAATAAAATCTTAATATGTTATATTTTCGAGCTGCTCACGAGCTTTTCGAGTCGAATATCGAGTAGCTCGTTTCTGCTCGTTAAGAACTCGAGTCGAGCTCGAGTCGAGTCGAGTCCATTCGATCCGAGTATTTATCGAGCCTTGATCGAGTCGATATCGAGTAGCTCACGATATGTCTCGTCTCATTTACATCCCTAGTTTCAACAACTTTAGTCACTAAATGAAGGCTTTTTTTATTTTATTAATCTAGAATGGTTATAAGTGATAATATTTATTTTATAAACTTTTAATTATTTGATAATAAACACTTAAATACTTTATAATTTTTTATGCACGAACTCAGAACCTCTAGGGATAACACCAATTCTTTTAACTACTGAGATCGTTTGATTCGTACTAAAGAAGGCATGAATTGAAATTTTCCCAATTCCGTGGTATAACCTATGAAGCAAAACTCAAAACTCAAACATTAAATTCATGTTTATAATTCGATAAAATCATGAATATCATATATTTTATTTATATTTTTTTATTAATAATAAAAAAACTATGTTTTTTTTGTTATAAAAATCGTATGTTTTCTAATTTCAAAGATAAATACATCTTCAATCGGTTAAACTTTTACAAATTGTAATTTTGTGTGTATGATTCTAGCAACCATCAATGATTATGCAAACTCCACAAAAATGGATTTTTATAAGAAATAGCAATCGTTTAATTAATGATAAAGTTTTGGAATCGTACATGTGAACTTACATGATGGTGACATTTTCATTTTAAAACTATATTAATCAACCATTGTTTTTTATCAAATATATTAGTGAATGTTTAATAGCATTGTGTAGTCTCATGTGAGGGGGTTTGTTTTAGCAATAACACGAGTCAAAGTGGAAAACACTGCAATTCGTTTATATGAACACCGCGCACCGACCGGCCATTTGGTCCATCTGGTCGGTTTAGTCTCATCTACCTCCAACCAACATCTGCCCTAAACTTTGCCTTGATTGATCCGTGTCATACACTTGTTTCGGGGTGAGTCTCTCAGTAGGGTTTTTATGCATACACATAGACTCGAAATCGAGATATTACTTAAACGTTACCAAACTACTTACCACTTGAACTGACTTTATTGGTTTCAAGTTACATGGAAAATCATCAACTGTTGCATGCTTTGAATTTTAACGTTTTTAAACCACAGAAACTGCGTAAACATGGGATGGTTGGTTGGCTCCCGTCTGAATCCAACTAATATTAGGGTTTGAATCAATGGAAACACGAGAGAGAAGACCGGCAGATCATCAACAATTCATTTCTTTATTCATAAATTATATGAAAGAGATGAGAGTAATAGAGACGAGGAATAAGGCAAAAGTCAAGGAGGAAGAAACTAAGCCAGATTGCAGATCCTTTTTGGGGACTAATTACATACTACTACACTCTCATTTTTATTTTCAAATGAAAATAGCTATACAACTTTTAATATATATTATATCTCTGTGTATTTTTCTCCTGTACATATAATGAACTCAATTCATATATAGTTGAAAAATTAAAGATTTTACCTTTCGGGATAGATACAAATTTTATATTAATCGTTGAATTTTTAAAATTTTAAGAAACGACAGAACTTATAAAATTTAAAGTACAAAAATATACTCTCAATAAAAAAAAAAAGAAAAATATCTAAAATACTATATGATAATTTAAAATTTTTAAGACTCGATTCATCTTTGTTATCAGCTCCCGAAGAAGGTATATAGATGAGAAAGGGAAAAGAAGAAGAAGAAGCTTGTTATTCAGTTAATCAAGCAAAAGGTGCAATATTACAATGAGAGTGTTTACATAAAGGTTCCTGGAAACTTTAATCAAACCTAAGAAAGAAATTCTGCCAGTAAAACTCCAACTTTCAATGGAGAAAAAAGCAAGGGGAAAGAGGGGTCATTTGCAAAATTTCAGGTCAAAACCCCTCAAAAACCTCTTGAAGCTAAATAGCTATGGTGGAGAATCCAAATACAGCCAAGCCAAGTAGGGAAAAATTAAACGTGGTGAGCTCCACGAAAAAAAGATAGTTACCAAACACATGAAAACCCTCCTCTGCTTCAAAACCTTGATCCTCCGAGCTATTGAATATAATTGCAGGTCACTGGCTACTGTTTCTCTCTTTAAGGTTTGAGGTAAAAAACACCAAACTATATAAAATCATCACTGATCCAAAAAAAATGTAAAAAGAGCTCTGTGTAGACCTTATTCCTAGTTCCAATCTTGTTTTGCAGTTGTTCATATCAGATGAACTTAAGAAAAGCCAGTCGTAGGCATTTCAAGAGATCCTTCACTGTCATCGAAAACTCAGCTTCCATCTGCAGATGACGATAATAAGTTAATTATCATGGAATATTCGAGGTTTAAGTTAAGGGTTTTTAACCTGTAAATCGTACAATACCTGAGCAACAATGGTTATGTTAAGAGTGGCTTGTCCGAAAGGTAATACATTGGTATTGAGCACAGAGAGATGAAGCTTTTCGACTTCGTTTAGGATGTTGGAGATGAACCCTTTGTTCTTCTCGCAGTGGATTCTAATCAGCACATCTTTGTCTGAAACTCTTGCTTCGATCTCAGGGAAGGGCTTATTAGATTGAATATCAAAGTTCTCATCAGATGAAGATGTCTCATCGTCTGCATAAATTTGGGTTTTCTTCACGAAGATCACTGATTCCACTGCTTTCTTAGCAGCTTGTTCCTCGAGTGTTTTCACTTTCTCTTGGAGCTGTTTCAGGTACTTGATAGCATCTCCAAGAACAGAAGTCCTATCCGTCTGCATAAACACATAAGATCACCATAACTCATAAGCCAATGTCTTATTTGGATCTAAACTATGAATCTATGGTGAAACTGGAAGACTCGGTACCTTTTTCAGGCTAGGAATGAGCGCTGAAAGTGAGATGAACCTCTGGCTGAGCTTTTCACGGCGTTTCCTTTCGGCAATAACATGATCTTGAGCATGTAATGGAGTTCTGGTCAATGAACCCACTACCCTTTTTGGTTTCACACCGCAGTCTAGACCGTAGTGTTGCTGAGAGACAGCAGGAGGTGAATTTGAGTTGTTGAAAGAGATTATTTGGGAAGATGGGGAAGAAGAAGAAGAAGCCTTTTGTAGGATGTTTTCGCTCATGGAAAAGCCCCAGTTGTTGGTCTTAGGTTGTTTCGTTGGCCTTTTGAACTCATCTTCCACTTGACGATAACCTTCAATACTATTGCATGAAACATCGTTTTGAGAGATTTTCTGGTCTATATTTTGATAAGACGAATAGCTCTCAGAAGAAAAGGATTGGAAATTTGTGTCGTCAAATGAATAGTCGACGATAGAAAATTGTGGGAAAAAAGTGCGATCCTCCATTTCCTGCAAACCATACAACTTTCATAAGAAAAAAATTGTTTTTTTACGGTGGCAGAAATAAGAACGTTTTACCAGTTCAGATATCCATTTGCTTGAAAGGATTTCCATTAAAAAAAAGCTTTTCTCTTTCACTTGATTTCCTGGGATGATCAAATAAAACAACAGAATCTTAGCAAACAATTAAGACCCAGATTTTTTTTTGAAGAACATGGAAATTAACATACGAAATAATAAATGGAGAGCTCCAAAAACCTTCAAAAGTCGGGAATTTGCCAATTTGGAGTTGCAAAGGAAAAGCTAACCTGAGTATAAAGAGTGGTGTTCAGATGTGAGATTTGAAGTTTGATGCAAATGATTATCTTTCCCGTGTTGACTGGATGAACCAATCCCTTTGCTAAGAGCTATATATATACATACATACGTACATATAAACACACATATATATATATTCTACCAGACGTACGCGCTTCCAAGTATTAAATTGTGTTCTCCCACGTGTGAAAATATCGCTCCACTAATTTTTCTTAAGGGTAAACTTAAATGGACCAATTAACTATTGTTAGATTTCATTTTAATCATTGACATTTTGATTTAATCAATCATATTATCGAACTATTTAAATATTTTAATCAAGTCACTTGCCGTTAATATTTAATGAAGTAGGTGACATAGCAGTTAAAACATTTTTCTATAATTACACGATTAATCCATGTTATTTATATACTCTTTCAGTTTAATCATAATTTTAACAAACTAAAATAAATTTAACCTTTGAATTAGGATATGTTATGTGTCATCATTTAATTGAAGGACTAATTTCATTTTAAATTTATTTTTAATTTAATAATTTTTCTCCAATCTTAGAGTAACACGTGTCCCCTCTATTTGAAAGAAAATAAATTAACACACATGGGGCAGGGGGAATCAAACCAAGTACGCATTGAGTGATGCAGTAGGAACCAAACTATTGAGCCAAGGTAATTATTTGATATATTTTGGACAACAAATAATATATATATCTTATATCTTAACATATAAACACTAAATTCATAATATTTTATGTTCTTAACTTTTAAAAATATATTTTATTTTTTAATGTGTTAAATATATTTTATTCTTATTTTAATATAAAAATATATGGTTTAATTTTATCTTTAGTTAATTATATTTTATTCTTATTTTAATTTTAAAAATATATTTTATTCTTAATTTAAAATATATTTTGAAGTTAAGATATTTTAAAAATAATTTTTTAATTTAAAATTATAATAAAATAGAATTTTAAGTAAAGATAACAACAAAATATATATTTGAATATTAAAATGATAATAATAATAAACTATTTAAATATATTTTAAGTTAATATATTTTAAAAATTAAGATAAGAATATAATATATTGTTAAGTGAAGATAAGGGTAAAATATATATTTTTACATTAAAATAAAATAAAATAAAATATATTTAATAAGTTTAGATAAAATAAAAGATATTTTTAAAATTTAAAATATATAAAAGACTTTTAATTTTATGTAAAGTATTTATATATTTAAGATATAAGATATATATTATATGTTGTCTAAAGTATACGGAATGGTTGCCTTAACTCAATGATTTTGTCCAGCTACTTCATTTAGGGGATCCTTGGTTCAATTCTCCTTGCCCACCTTGTATGTTGATTTGTTTTCTTTCAACCAGAGGGTGACACGTGTTATCCTCTGATTGGAGGAAGCTAAATCTATAAATTAAAAATAAATTTAATCTTTCAATCAAATGATGACACATTTCATCAATGATACATGACACTTCTTGGTTTGAGGGTTAGATTTATTTTAATTTATTAAAATTAGGCCTAAATTGAAATAACACATAAGTAACACTGACCAATTATGTAATTATACCAAAATGTTTTAACAGTCACGTCACCTACTTTGCTAAATGTTAACAGTAGGTGGCTTGATACTCTGTTAAATATTAATAGCAGATGGCTTGATTGAAGTATTCAAATAGTTAGGTGGTTTAATTGATTAAAATGAAATATGACAATAGTTAAGTGGTCACCATTGTAGTTTACCCATTTTTTATTGGGTAAAGTATATGTCTAGTCACTAAACTATTAGGGTGGTTCTATTTTGACAATTGAATTATGAATTTTATCAATTAAACCACTTAACTATTTAATTGATGTCCATCAAACTTCTTACTGTAGTTAAATAAATTTTTATAATTATATATTCAATTCTCATTATTTATATATTCAATCAATTTAGTCCTAATTTTAATTGAATTTAATAAATTTAATCTTTTATAATAAATATTTTTTACTGTGATGATAAGTGTTACCATTTAATTGGATGAAAAATTGGTAACCAAGTATAATCAAAAGGGATCTAACCTAAGAAAGACAAAATTTAAAAGAATCAACAGTCTAGCCAAATTCTTTATTTGATTAAAAGATTGACAACATTCCTTATTAAACATTATCTTATTGGTGAAAAATTAAAGAAACAATTTACTAGGTATAGGAATATATTATCACTTAGTCAAATCCAATATTTGATTAAAATTGACAACATATTATATATATAGTTTAAACTGTAATTAATAAACTATTAATATCATCATGTGTGATATTATATTATTATTTTAATAATATAATAAAATAATAATATAATTAATAACTTAATTTTTAACGCTCAAAATATATTTATTAAGAATAATTATTAACAGATTTATATTATATAAATATTTCTTCTTTATATGCTTATATAAATATTTATTGAATATATTATTATTGTAAAATTTTATATAAAATGTTTTATTTCATTTAAATAGTAAGTATGATCTATTTTAATTTCATTTAAATAGTTTTGCATGATTTTATTAGGAGAAACACGTACAAACTGACATATACTTCGTTGAAAATTTTTCTTAAACTTAAATGGAGGTTAGTTTCAAAGTAAATAATTTCATTTGATTAACGAGTAAGTCTTTTGAGAACAGTAGTTAAGATATAAGTAATCTGAATTATTTTATTCTAATTTTTATTTTAAATTTTAAATTTTTATTTATTTCATATAAAATGTTTTATTATTAATATTATATATATATATCTTTAAAAGTTTTTTTAAACCGGTCACTTATTGTATCAAGAGTGAAAATGGTAAGAGGAAGGGAGAGATATCCAGTACCACATTTTATTCAAATTGTTAATGAGACAAGATAGATCGCAAGCTACTCGAGACAGACTCAATTAAAGCTCGATAAATACTCAACTCGAATGAACTCGACTCGAGTTCTTAACGAGCTGAAACGAGCTACTTGATACTCGACTCGAAAAGCTCGTGAGTAGCTCGAAAATATAATATATTAAGATTCTATTTAAAAAAAAGAAATTATTAATAATATAACATTTATGCATTGATTTTTTTTTAAAATGCAATATAAGGTACATGTTCGAGTTTGAGTTTAAGGCCTCAATCGAGTTAAGTTTAAGATTGTTTTGGGTAAATTACATGTTTACTCACTGAACTTTATTCTCTCACCTATTTCACTCACCATACTTTCAATTTTTTCAATTTACTCACTGAATTTTAGACATTGAACTTTTTTATCACTATTTCGATGACATGTATTATTTTAATATTTGGGTAAATTACACGCTTACTCATTGAACTTTATTCTCTCTCCTATTTCACTCACTGTACTTTCAATTTTTTCAATTTGCTCACTAAACTTTAGATATTAAACTTTAGACGTCAAAAAAATGGCTAAAGTTCAGTGAGCAAATTGAAAACATGGTGAGTGAAATAGGAGAGAAAATAAAATTCAGTAAGTAAGCGTGTAATTACCTTTTTTTTCATTTTGAGCTTTTTCGAACTTTAATTCATGATTTCAAGTTCGAGTAAAACATAAAAATTTTAAATTCACGAGTTTTTTAAATCGAACTCTATTTCAAAATTTTTAAATAAAATTAAGCTCAATATTTCAAAAAATTTTAAATAAATTTTTTAAACAAACGCCGCAATAGGTGTTGATATTTAGCGGCGTTTTTCCCACAAACGCCGCAATAGGTGTTGAGATTTAGCGACGTTTTTTCCACAAACACCGCAATAGGTGTTGAGATTTAGCTGCTTTTTTACACAAACGCCGCAATATGTCTTGAGATTTTGCGGTGTTTTCCCCACAAACGCCACAAAAGATCTGGTATATAGCTGCGCTTTTTAGAATAAACGCCGCAAAAGGTTATATCTATAGCGGCGTTTTAAGATACAAACGCCGCTAATTACCTCTCTATAGCTAAGAGAAATTGATTTTGCAAATTAAAACTAATTTGTCAAATGTTGTTTTCTACTCTTTTATTACCCAAATTTAACCTGTAGCATTTTCCAATAAACTTGACATCTATACCGACAAACTTAAAATCCATAACAAGAAAATTAAAATCCATAATAATAAATCAAAGTTTACATTAACGTAAAATATAATGTAGTTCAACATTATTAACTATAATAAACAATAATATCTAAGATATTTTGCTTCTAATCTGGGAAAACAATGATGCAGAGCTAGTATCGTCCTATCATTTCTTGCATAGATATTTTGCTTCATGAGGTCTTACTCCAATTGGCATGCCACTTGAAAAGGCCCCATCCATGGCAATGCAAACCCGATCTCTAGTTTCATATCCAAATAAATCATCAGTTTATATGAAAATCCATTATATCTTACGTTAAAAAAGTTAACAACACATTTCTGCATGGTCAGTCCCAGCAGGCAACAACTCTATGATATGCGCAACCATCATGATGATAAGCAAAATATAGAGATAGATCTTAATAATTGTGCAGAAACATCCAAGCTTGAATTTCATGATAACTTTTAACAGCTTATCGGACCAAACATATTTTAAAACAATAGCGCCCAGAAAAAGGCTCCAAAACTGCATTCCTAACAAACAGAAAGATAAAAAGATAAAAATATGACAGCTTACCAAGGACCAAATCCTTTTAAGCATTCCGCTAAAACAACCTGAGAACAGACAAAAGCACAATCTAACTTAAAGATACGGAAGCAAAAAGAGAATTTAACGGAGATTGTAAATTAATATTTTATCCCCATTTGTCACCTCAGTATTTTCCCCAAGAATTTCAATTATAAGCCCCATCAACTTATGTGCATAGGCCATTGGTTTCAATTGAATGCTTTTCTGTGCCAAACTGTACATGCTTTCTAACCCCTAGCAGAAGAAAATAAATAAACGAGATATGTAATACAAGGAAAATATATACCACTGTGAATGGCCTGATGTATAACAAGTGAGAAATATACAATTCTATCCAATGGCATGTTGCAGAGCATAGACTATTAACATTACCCAACATTATTTGTAACATACTTCTCAAACCCTCATGAGTTTGTTGGTGAGCACACTGAAACCAGAACACCTTCAGAAAAGTGAATAGGTGAAAAGCTTGACGGATGGAAATACAAAGAATATATGGAACTACTTAGTTGATACAACCAAAACAGAACTAGCATAATAACAACAATCGTTTCCAAGTTAAAACACATTTTGGTCAAATAACTGAACAAAGACTTGCACGAACCTCTTAACTATTAAAATGTTTCAATGAAACTAAAGGTAAATAGAACTACATCTTTTGGATGCAATGCATAATAATTAATCTATTACCAACCTCGCAATTGCTGAGTTGATCTAATTGATAAGATCCATGCAAGCGCAACATTTTAACCTGCATGTGAAAATATAAAACTGCATCCAATCATAAAATTCCACTAAAAAAATAACCTAACATGCTTTCATAATTTTATTAAGCTATAAAACCACATTAGTCTGCCAGACACATACCACGATATCTAGCCAACCCACAGCAAATGCTGATGACAAAACTTCCCAGTATTTGGGATTATTCTCCACAACCTACATTCAATAAACTGGTTAAATAACACCATCTTAGATGAATACATAAGATTACAAATCAGTCAAACAACTCACAATCAGAAACTCTAGAACTGTGTTAGTATCATACAAAAGAAGTTAACTTCATAAGGAAAATAAAAGGTTAATTATTTCAGGACCTGCAAGTTTACAAGTTCTTTTTGAAAATCAACAAGCTTTGCATGCACTGTTGGGTATGTTCCTGAGAAAAGGTTGTTGTAGTCCTGCCAAGACACAAATTGGTTATTAGTAAACAAAAATCTTTAAAACCAACACAATGTAACACTTAATGGATATAGTTAAAAAAAAGGGAAGGGATTTATAGCTAACCGATCAACAAGGCGTTCAGGTAACCATGAATGAGATGACTTTTCAGCATAAAACATTTCCAATAGCTCCCACGCAGCCTTTAAACTAGTTGGCTCCTCTCCTTTTTAGGGTAAAAAAGGGCAACTTGAAATTAAACGAAAGTACCATTAGATTAAAACCTTCAAGCTTAACCATTAGATTAACACATTCTTCATTCTCCTTCCTTTCCATTCTTCATACCAAACAGAGCCAAAATGTCTATTACAAAATAAAAGAAGAAAAGAAGAGGAAATTACCAATATGACTGACTTCGGGTAGTCGATAACCGGAACTGAATCCAATTTCTGACCACCAAGAAAGGCATTTATGTCTTTTTTGTACTCCATTATGTAATCCCACCTGAACACAACAAATTCAATATTTTTCAGAACAAAAGAAAATAAACTCCAAATATATTTTAATAAAAATGAAAATTTGAAAACTAATTACCAGTAAACATCGTAAGGTGAGGAATTCATTGATATTTTTGACAAGCTGGAGACGACGTTTTTTCTGCTTTGGAGTAGAGCAAAAGGAGAGACCGAACCGTAGGCGACCCTCCACCAATGAGCATCACTGACTTTGCCATCTCTGCCGCCGAGCTTTACTTCCACTATTTTTCCTCCTACATCGTTTTCAACAGAGGAAGGAGCGGCGAAAACCGAGACCCGAAGGTAGTGGTCGCGTGACCATGAGACAAAGAGCCTAGAGATTGGAGACTTGAGGCAATGGCGGAGGGGATACACCGTCGAACCCTGGGAATCTGTACAAATCGGAACTAAAACACCTCTGCCATAATCTGATGAGACGCCGGGCATTTCTTTTCGCCAGTAAATCAGTGAGTGGGTCTGCTAGTCTCGGAGTGTTAGGGTTTTGGGATGGAGTATGCAAATGTTGCATTGTTGAGGAGAAGATTAAAAAATTCTTATTAAAAAGTTTCATTTGTATGGATTAAAAGTAAAAGTATTTAATGGAGTTTGTGCTTAAAGTGCCACTAAAGTACGAGTATTTGGCGGTGTTTGTGCTTAAAACGCCACTAAAGTACATTATTTTGCGGCATTTATATAAAAATGCCTCTATAGTACGAGTCTTTAGCGGCGTTTGTATAAAAATGCCGCTAAAGACTCGTACTATAGCGGTGTTTGTATAAAACGTCACTAAATTACAGTGTTTCGCGGCGTTTGTATAAAAACGCCACTAAAGTAAATTATTTAGCGGTGTTTTTAGAATAAACGTCGGTAAAGACTCGTACTATAGCGGCATATGTACAAAAACGCCACTAAAGAACATTATTTAGCGGCGTTTTTATAAAAACACCGCTATAGTACGAGTCTTTACCGGCGTTTGTTCTAAAAACGCCACTACAAATGCCGCTATTAACCCATTTTGTTGTAGTGTATTATCATCCACTTCCTCAAGCGTTGAGATGCTCATACCCCTTTATTGATATAAAGACGTCTCCACTCATTGTCTGGACTTCTCCGAAATATGTTGAATCGTCATCATAGGTCTGACACCAGTCGCCTTATAGCTGAGGTATTTATATCTTGAAGAAAGGCTGAGAAATGTGACACTCTTTATCTCACTGACTGTAATTCTTCACCCAAATCAAAAGAAATGAACTGTAAATATCTATAAAACTAAATTATTTCCATGAACCACAATATGTTTGATTATAGTGATTATTAATTTTGTTGGAAGGAAAAATGAAAAAGAAAAATAACAATTGTGACACTAAAACGAAATGGCTAGCCGTATCATATCATCATGCTACGTAGTTATTGACACGGACACATCTTCAACCACGACCATATTCATATTGTATAATTGGTGAAGATTTGTCTGGTGTAGGGGAAGGTGTCTCGGGGGAATAAACGCAAAAAACAAAACGGACTGGGGGAGTTCCCAACTCGGAGGAGATAATTGACAGATTGCTGCACTTTTCGCCTCCGAATGGATATTATCCCACAAAAATCACTACTCGATCATGCTCATATGTCTTTCTTCTCTTGCTGCATTTCAATCCACCATGAAGGCGGCCAATAATGTCCTTCCTTCATCTCGTTGTTGGCAAGTACTCAGTGACAGATCTAGAAATTAAAGAAAATGTTCAAAATTTTAATAATTTTTTTAAAAAAAATGGGTATGCTAACTTCACTTCTTTATTTTTATTTTCATTCTCCTAATAAATTAAACTAGATTTAACAATTTTTTTCAAAATAATGGGTACAAAATTGACCTCCTCAAAATCACATTCACCCACCCCACCCAGCTTCTGCCATAGAAAAGTTCCAATTCACTTTGAACTTGCCCATTTGTAAAGCAGTATTTTATGGGTTCTTCAGTTGGTCGTGGAATCGACGATATATCACCAGGTCTGGTCGAAGATTCAATCCATCGGAGTATATTCGAGGTATATGTTGTTATTCTTTAAAATTTTGAATTCGAGCATTAGGAATATTAGGGATGTGAGTGTTTAATGTCAAATGGTTGAGAGTTATATTTAAACATATATTACTTTAAGCTTACCCATATCGATAATAAAAATGTATATGTGGATTATGGAAAGTGAAATAAAGAGAGATGTTTTTTTAGGAAGGTTATATGAGTGCTGCTGCAAAAATTAAAATGCGACGTGTAAAAGAATTATTAGTGGGTTACAAAGAGATGCACAAATGAGGAGCAGAAGATTTATGTGAAATTTTAAAAACATAAATAATTAAGATACACACTAAGTGCACATAAATGTGATTTTATTCAGAAGAAATGGGCATAGTAATGATACACACTAAGTGCACATTTGTTTTTTTGAAAACATTATTGGTATATATATTAGTTGTATCAATAATGTGCATTTTTTTTTAAAATATTATTTAGTCTAATAATTATATTGATAATATCTTAAATGTAAAACATAGATTGAGTGCAATGGAAAGAGTTCTATAATCTTTCACACTAGTATCTTTTAATTTAATATTAAAAATTAGGGTTAACTACATGATTGATATTTTTATTTGTGTTTTGTCCACTTTTCCTCGTTGATTTCAACAAATATAATATATGGTAACTTTCGTTCTTACTTAATTAAGATAATGCCACTTTAGTTTTTATTTAATTAATATGTGGTCACCACGGGTTAAATATCATTAATTAGGTGACGTGATATTTTGGTATAATCACATTATATATACTCTCGATTTAGTCATACTTTTAATAAATTAAAATAAATTTAATCCTCCAATCGAATAATGACAAGTGTTACTGGTGTCATACGTCATCATTTGATTGGAGGACTAACTTTATTTCAATTGATTTTAATTTAATATATTTATTTTAATTTATTCGGTTGGTAAAAAATGAATATATTAAATTAAATAATGTTAGTCTTCCAGATGAATGACCCATAAATTGTATTAAGCCGAATAAATCAAATAAATATGATTAATGTGTATACATTGGCACATAAAGACGCAACATCATCAGCGGCCAGGATTCCTTGATCTATTTCACAAATACCAAATTTCTTAAATACCCTCGTATCCTTAAACGAGAATAAAACAGGAATTACCTAGTTTCGCCAATCCCTTTCTGGTCATTTCATCCTCCAATCATCCACTTCTCCTCCTCCTCTTCTTCTTCCTACTCCCACCGAGATTTCGTCCCCGCTATCACGCTGCACCGCAGATCCGTACGCTCTTCCCTTTCATTTTATCAGTTAATATGTATTCAAGTTTTATTTATTAAAATTAAATTATTTGATTTCTTTTTAATCTTATTCTTATTTTCTCTTCATCTATCTTCAATCTTGTTTACGTGTATGGAATTGTTTTGGATTTCCCGTTTTCTTTGCTTTTGATTTCTGGCGCTTTAGTTTCAGTAATTGAGTTGCAACTCTTAATGGCGTCTTAATTGTTTACTCGTTCGATTAAAATGTTAATTCGATTAAGGTGTAATCTGTTTGATGTTATTTTTTCCGATATTAATGCGATTAAGATAGTAATTGACCTTTCTAGCTTATACATCTTATATTCTGAGGTTAAATTTGTTGTTGCAAATCTCGCACTTGAATGACACACGTCTTTTAATTTTCATATTGATCTGAACACTGGATTTTAATTATTCATTTTGTTGCAGGGATCATCTCAACTTTCACTATACTCACCGAAGCTTGAGAAGGGTAATTTGATATTAATCTATTTGTATTATGATTGGCATTTTCTTTTTCTTTGGCATAATTTTTTACTTGGAAAGTTTCTTTTCTTTCTCATGAATTAGTTGATGTCTAGTTGTAATTTACATTATTATAAGATTTTTTTTTAATCTTTTATCCGATGCAAAACTTTTATCTATCTTTTAGCGCGTATTAATTTGTTTATCTGAGTCTCGGATTAGTCATGTTCCATTCCTAGCCTATGACTTCCTTAAATATCAAAAGCGTTCATATAGAATATATCTCATGGTTATGCAATTACCTCTGACAACAAGAATACTAACTTTAAAATCTAATCTTTTGTCCTCTGTTTATGTAGTATTGGCTATGCCATGCTTATCCAAAACTATTGTCTCAGACTAAGTAAGACTACTAACTGTTTTGTAGTTGCTATCCGCGGCCTTGTTTCTTCCCATACCTTGACATTGACATCTTTTGTTAGACAGCTTCTCTCTGGTGTATTTCTAGATCTTTACATTTCCAATCCGCCTTAAATGTGTTCTCCTTCTGTTTGTACTCAATCTACGCAAACTTCCACCTTCTCTTTTGTACTCACATTTTTAACTTCTATGTTTACTTGTTCAATCCTGTGATATTTTGTGAGTCTTATTTTACGTTTAACAGAATTTTCCCTAGGTTTAAGCACAGGACATCCAGTGTGATTGGTAATATTTTATTTGTCTTCATGTGCATTTGGAAATCAAGATGTGGTGGTCTGCTTGTGCAGCCAACTAGAATGATTTAAGCACTTTGTTGGCACATGCAACTTCTTCCATCTTATTTAAAACTAAACGTCAATTAAGTATGTGGTCGATATCAGCCTTGAAGCTAAAAGTTGTTATATCAGGTCTTGTCTGCCAATTTGTTTTCATCATGCTCTCTCTATTATTCATATGATCTACTGCAACCAAGCGTTTAAATTGAATACACTATTGCTATATTTCACCTGCTACCAACCTTTAACTATATTGGCTGCAGATCTGGGGTTTTGGTACATGTTTTGTGTGTGTGTTGCCACATATAAATTCTTTGAAATTAAATATTAACTGATAGGGAGTTTTTATTGTTTTCTTTGCAGGGTGCTTCTGTGACAAAATATTCTAACATAACGATTGATACAGTGAACAGGATTAAAAATGGAGTTGAATAGCCTGAAAGATGCATTTGATCGCGTTGCAAAGAAGCAAAAGCTGTTCTGCTCTAAAGCTCACGAAGTTATGGATCAGATTGTTCAAGAAATCGAGAAGGCAATAGAAATGATGCAACCAACGACCCTTGATCATAAATCCATACTAGCTGAACTGAAGAAAAAACTGCATGAAATTGCTCCACTCAGTCAGCTTGAAGGCACACAGAAGGAACTCAACATAGCATTGAGCAAGTACCCAAAAGCTCTTGAGAAAGCCCTTAATCCTGATATATCCAAAGCTTATCGAAATATTGAGTTTGATTCCCATACAGTTAATCAAATAATTGCCAGCCATTTCTATAGGCAGGGCCTGTTTGATGTTGGTGATTGTTTTATAACCGAGGCTGGGGAAGCGGAAGCTGCTGCTGCTACAAGATCACTTTTTCAAGAAATGTGTCAAATACTTGAAGCAATGAAGAGTAGGAACCTAGAGCCCGCCCTGAAATGGGTGGCCGAAAACTCTGATAAACTGAAAGAAAATGGTTCAGACCTTCTGCTTGGACTCCATCAGTTGCAGTTTGTGCAAATATTACAAAAGGGAAGCAGAGATGAAGCGCTCAAGTACGCAAGAACCAACTTCGTTCCCTTTGCTGGAAACCATATGGCTGAAATCCAGAAACTCATGGGGTGTCTCTTGTATTCCGATAGACTTAGCGAGTCCCCGTATGCTCATTTATTGTCGCCCACCAATTGGGATATAGTGGCTGAGGAGCTCACCAGACAGTTCTGCAAACTACTGGGGCAATCATATGAGAGTCCATTGAGTGTGACAATAGCAGCAGGGGCGCAAGTGCTACCACCTCTTCTAAAGTTTATGACAGTTATGGCTGGGAAGAAGCAAGAATGGCTATCAATGAAGCAGCTGCCTGTTCCAGTGGAGTTAGATAAAGACTTTCAATTCCATTCTATATTTGTGTGTCCCGTGTCTAAGGAGCAATCGACTGAGGATAACCCACCGATGCTGATGCCGTGTGGTCACGTGCTCTGCAAACGATCTATCAACAAGATGTCAAAGAATGGATCGAAAACTTTCAAGTGCCCGTACTGCCCATCCGATGTCGATGCAGCACGGTGCAGACAGTTGAATTTCTGATATATGTACCCTAAAATGCGATTGGGGTTGTACTAAAAAAAAACTGTTTCGTTTGGACCGAATCAAAAATGTGTAGAACTATAAATTGTTTGTGGTGAGATGTTGGCAATGCTGTGCAACAGTGTAGTATTGGCTGGACTTTATTGTAAATAGAAATGCATCCCAATATACATGCTGGTAATAAACCGATAAGCCTCTTTTAATGTTTATATGTTGGTGTGAACATTGAACTAGTTACTATTATAGGATTTTGGTTTGTGTTTAAATAGTTTGTATATAAGGATATCCATTACAAAGATAGGATGAGAAGGAAAAATAAAATATAAATTACAAATGAAGAATCATAATATTTTGGTTTGTGTTTAAGTAGTTACAATTATATTTTTCAATATAAATTACTCAGTTTCGAAACTCATCATTTGCACGAATAAATTTACCTGAGTGGTTAAAGAAATTGTTGTTCTTAGAGGTTACTGGTTCGAGCACTAGTAGCTACAGTAAGATGATTGAACGTTTATTGTCAAATAGTTAAAATATTTAGAGAACATATACTACTTTGTAATATAAAAAAACTCGTCATTTGATTTTTTTTTTTAATTTTAACGAAAAGGAGCTTAAACATTAGGTCTCAATTCTGCACACATCAAATTTGCAACCTCACTCGGTGGTGGTTCGAAGCAGTTCAAACCCGAAGGAAGATTACGCGCTAGCTTGACCATCGCGTCCGCAACTCGATTCCCTTCCCTGAAAACATGTTGCACAGTCACAGCCCAATTCCGACGAAGCAGCACCATCACATGGGGAACCATATAAGACAAAACGATCCCCTCACCATCTTGTCTACATTGCTAAAACAGCATCCTTGCAATCCGTTTCAAGGACCAGTCGACGCACCCCAAACTTCCACGCTAAATCGAGCCCTTCATAAATACCCCATAGCTCTGCATCGAGACTCGAACACGTTACCACCTTCTTCGAAAACCCAAAGCACCATCTTCCCATAGAATCTCTTAAAACTCCTCCGCACATAGCCATACCCATCGAAGGATGGCTCCCACCATCTGTATTTAACTTCAACCAACCATCAGACGGTGGCTGCCACACAACCAACTCCCGAACTCTTAGCCCCAAGGACTCCGACCCTCCTCCTTGGCGCTCCCTCATATCGGTCGCTTCCAAACATAGACGGGTACTTCTTTGGATAACACTCTCTCGAACAGCAACATTTGGCTAAAAAATTGTAAGTGAACATTTAATACTATGTTTTAATGCTTACAATGACTATTACTCCTCTCCGACGACTACAAATGTCTATAAAAGTATTAAAAGACAAAAATTTCAAGAATCAGTGAAAGAACATCAAGAAAAAAAATCAACATTCAAACATAAAAAATTAGTGTTTGAGCATCGAAATCTATTTTTTTTTAATCTTGTAAAACCACTTGCGAGCCATTTTATTATTACATTGGCTAAAATGTGTAATTGGGTTGAGCTTAAATGTGCAAATTCTTTAATCTCGTGATGGTTACTCTTTGTTCGTTAAATTTGTATTTTTTAGAGAGGTTTAAGCTTAAGATTTGGGTTGAAATAAGTGTCTTTATCTTAAGATTTGGATAGAAATTTTAATGGTTATAAGCTGGGATGGACCGAGGGTGACGGGTGGGTGCAGTCGTCCCCTCTAAAAATTTATGATATGTACATAATTGAAAGCACCAAAATTAATCATTTTAATCACGTATCCGACTATCTGGTTTGATCGATGGATACATAATTTTTAATCAAAAACAAAAGTTTTAAACTATTCATAAATAAGTTATGTAGGATTAAACTTAAAATATTTAGATTTAAACGATACAAAGCATCCAAAAATATACTCATGTCGTAACATTAATTCAACGATATTAGAAAGGTGATTGGGTTTTTAATTTTACAACTAAACAATGGACTTTAATTGATTGATTTAATAATGGTGTTGAAGCAAAACGGCTTGGTTGGGGGTGATAATGAGGAGAGCCGTTTATCTTTATTTGTTTATTATTAATGACAGCTAGGAAAGTGGTTTTTTTTCAATTATTATTCCTTTACTTCATAAAAAAAGAATAATTATTTGTTTAAATGGTTGATGTTTCATTTGTGTGCGTGTATTTATTTAGTTCGTAGGAAGCGGACGTAATTATGGCCACCCACCATTTCATGTTTTGCCCTAATTTCTTTTAATGAGTAATTATGGGTTTTGTTCATGGGTAGATATTTTTTTCCGATGAAGCTAAGGTGATTATAAAATTGTGTTTGTTCTAAATATTTTCAACTATTTAACATTGAATGCACAATCACCTTGCTGCAGTCGCTGATACTCAAATCCGTTACCTCTATGAACAATAATGATTCCTTTAACCGCAATCAAATAAAATTATTTCCCCTACTTTAACTTGTTTAATGCTCAAATGATTAATCTGGTTTGTATTATTTTATTCATACAAATGTAAAGGTTCTTTTTTTGTTGAATTAAATACCCGAATTATATTGTTTAAATTGGTCTCTAAACTTTTGAATGTTTAGATTTCATCTTTAAACTACGATTCTCGTTCTAAATTGGTATCCAAACTTGTGAACATTCGAATTTTATCATGTAACTATCTATGTATGCTAATGCATGTCCCAAGTAATTAAAACTGTTAAAATATATTAATTATCATGTAAATATTGACGTGTATCGTGTAATAATATGATGTGATATAAATTGTAATTAATGTTGGATTATTTTTTTCGAGTAACATGAGGTGTAATTAATGTTGGATTAGAGAATGTGATATGACATTGAATATAGTTTAATCACATCATCTTATTATATATCAATGTTTGCATGATAGTTAACAATTTTTTTAAATAATTTTATTAATAAGAGACTTTATTAGCATACATAAATAAGTTAAAGATAAAATTGAAATATTTAAAAATGTAAAGATCGATCTAAAAATTAGCAGTACTGTTGACATGATATCTTTTTATTATTACAACATTACGTTTTGATTCTAGTTTGATAATTCATTGTTAAAAAATTAACAGTAATACTTACATTACATCTTTTATTGTTTTTGAATACCAGTATGACATTATCTCATACTGACACATTAACATCATTCCTACCTTTATAACAAGGAATGATCAAAATAGAAACAAAATGTAATATTAGATATAATTTTTTAGAAAGTAATATTTGAATGACCCAAACAAGAAATAAGTAATAAATGGATGGCCAAATAGGTAGTTTGCCTGTGTTTTCTTTAAATAATTTAAATTCAAATAATATTATATGTAATTTTATTCAAATAAAAAATATAAATACTAAAAGAATGATATAATAATAGGTTAGGGTACACGTCACCATCTCCATGTCTTCATTTAATTATTCTAAAATAAATAGATTATCTTAAAATAAAATATAATTGCCTACATTGCATTAAATCATTTAAAAAAAGGGGGGAAAGAAACACTAATTTTGGTTTTATTATTTTTTATGTAATTCCATTATTTTGACTTTTGTGTTACAAAATAGAAAAATTAAAATCTGGCATTTTCAAATCCATGCAAATCGCTAACTCTATTCATATGCTTCCTCATGATCGCCATTTTTGCCAATCTCTCCGCCGTTCTCCAAGCCGACGTCGGCGTTAACGGCTCAGCCTTTTCCTCCACTCTCCCATTATTATTAATTACCCTTTGTTTCTGGCGCCGCCGGCTCAACTCGGCTAACTCAGACTCCAACCGCCCAATAAATCCCTCAGCCGAGCTCGAACCCGATTGCATCAACAAAGCTCGAGCCGAGGTGAGCAAATGCTGAGCCCCCGATAAATCGTTGTGCTCAATCAATCCACGAGACTCCGCCACAGCACGCGTGCTCACGTGGAGATTCCTCAACCGTGCGACGCCGGAAGATGGAGATCGAACGGACTGCGGCAGCCGAGGTAAAACCAAGCTTTGATCCCTCGAGTAGACCATCTCCCCAGTGAATGGATCCGTGTAAGATGATCGTACGGACATCATTCTATGGGACCCGCGAGAAGATACGGGCACTTTCAGTTCCACCAATAGTTCTCTCTCCTCGCCCGAATGCAAATCCCCAACCCGTACTGAACCCGACCCGAGTGCAGCCGGTTGGGCCGTCAACGAATAGACCGATAATATCTCGGCCGGGGCCGACCCAGATTCGAATCCCAGTTGAAGCCTCACATCTTGAACCACCACGCTTAACAGACCGTTGATGATTTTACAAAAAGCATCCTCGTTTGGAGCGTGGGTGCACGATCCGAAGCCGAATGAGTGCACGGGGATTTCTGAATGGCTCAGGCGCCTGGTGGAAACAACTGGAAGGTTCTGATTGGTTGAACTGGACTGCGACTGTTTATCATTGTTGTCAGATAAGATCATTATACTTGACAGCGCGTTTTTCTCTCTACGATCCTCCAATATCTTGACCGCCTTTTTCAGCGCGTCGTTGACACTCATCCCTTGCCTGTTTCTTCCCAGCCCGTCGATGATCCTTCTCGCGAATCTCCGTCCGCTGGAACTCATCCTTTTCAACGGCAACAACCGTTTTGAACTCGACGAGAAAATCACGATCGACAATCGGTCCTTCTCGTTAAGCAAAGAGATAATCCACCGCATCACGCGTTTCAGCATCTGCAACCGCATCGCACCACCGCTAACATCCAACACCGTAACCAAGTCGATCGCGGCCCTCTTCAACCCACGCGTTACTGTCGGCGCGCTCACTTTCATAACTACCACGTAACTTTCGTAACTCCTCCCGATCGCCACCATCGCCGCCTCCTGCGACAACCTAGCCTCCACGTTCCTTGCATCACTCCTCGGGGTGACAAAAAACCCATGGAATTCTTCCTCTTCGTCGTCGATTTCGGTTTCCTCGGACTCAGGGATGGGGTTAAACTGGGAAAGAGAAATAGGTGAGGCCAATGGTTCATCGTCGTCATAGACCTTTAACGACTTCGTTTTGATGTCGCCGAAAGATGTTTTATGGGGTTGTTCGGGGTGTTGAAGGGAGAGTAAAGGCAACTCTTTCCAGGTGGTGGAACAGACGGGGCAAATTTGTAATTGTTGCTTCCTGATATGAACAGCGACGCAATGGAAATGGAAGGAATGAGAGCACTCCGCCGTGAAAATCGCTGTTCCCCGCCCCGTTTTCACGTTTTCCAAACAGATTCCACACCGACCACCCTGGAAGAGAAAACAAAACAACAAAAGATCATTATTGAAAAGGACAAAATTTTGCATAAAGATAAAGAGTCAGATACAAATAAGAGTGGAAAAGCTTACCTTGGAGAGGCAGAGAGTGGATTTAAGGAAGGAGAAACTGGAAGGGGAGGAAGGGGAGGAAGGGGAGGAGAAATGGGAAGTTCTGCAGTGGAGTTTGGGGCTATTCGGAAGAGAAGAAGTCGGGGTGCAAGTGGAAGTGGTTCGGCAACGAAGACTCGGGCTTGAAACCGGCTGAGATTGTAACCTTGGGGTTGATGGGTTGGAGAAAAACCCAAACTTCGACGAAAATCTTGGACTTTTGGTGCTGTTTTTTTGCTGCTGTTGTGGTTGTTGCTTTTCTGGTAAAACTGGGCTGTCTTGTTTCTTGGGAATGGAAGTGCAAAAAGCTCTTCTCCAACCGGTCACCATTCTTCGAATTTTTTGTCTCTGTTTTCAGTCAAGCAGAATCTTTTTCTCTTCACTTGAGGCCTGAGGGGGGATTTTAGTTCATATGGAAGAATTTAGTTGGTTGTGAGGGAGAAGAAACGGATCGGGCATAGAAATGAAATTTCTGAGGAATTAGGGAAGCAAAATAAATAAAGATTAGATGGAGAAGAAAAAAGAGAGTAGCTATGGCCCCCAAAAGATCACTGCTTTGCCCTTTAACATTTTCTTTTAGCCCGAGACTATTATATTGTTCGCTTGTGTTTCGAAATCTCCCCCACAAAAAGATCACTGCAATCAAAAGCATTCGTTAGTCCAAAATTAACGAAGGGCCTTTTCTTTAGGGCACTGAGAGCATATCTATGTAGTGCGGGGCACATGAGCTGCTGCACATCTCACAAAAAAGGGTCAAATTTACTTCCTTTTGCATTCATTGTCCACACACACCAATCCCCAAAATACTCGCTGGATTGCTCCCTTTTAACATTTGATTGAAAAAAAAACCACAATGAAACGAAAGTACTTAACTTGTACAATGCTCAAATTATTCATCTGAATTGTATTATTTTATTCACCAAGAGACGAAAGACATTGACACACACAGCTAGAAACATTATAAAGAAAATTACCCTTTACCCCATCTCATCTTTGCTGCTACGTTACAAATCTTTAAACGGCGTTAATATATTAAAAAAACCTAATAATAATTAAAAAAAAAATTAAGAACAAGATTTTAGAAAAATAACTCCTAAATTATTCACGTAGGACAATCTCATGTCCTATAAAATAGGATTGATGTATTTCACGTTTTATAAGACGTGATACCTATCAATTTTTTCAAATAAAATTATTACATATTAAATGAAGATAATAATAAATACATAAAATTTATTTTTTGTAAAACACAAAATTTAATCTCAATTTTTATATAATGCGATGTTGACAGTTTGAGAATTATTCTTTGAACTAATCTGTTAAGGGTTGGTTCTTCAAAAAATAATTATTAAAGATTTTTAATATAATAATGCCTCTTTAAACTCTTGATTTGACTCACCACCCAAACAATCACTCTTTTCTACGTTTTTAAATTTTGGATGTTAAAGCGATTAATTTAATTAAGGGACAAAAAAATGTCTTATAATATACGATTTTAATCAATTTTTTTTGGATTTGCCAAAATGATCAACTAAATCGTAATGCGATCGATAATTCGTAACGCGATCTCCGGTATCGCAAATCAATTTCCAGATTTGTAACACGAACTTTGACTATTGTAATGTGAACTTGGACTATCGCAACGCGAACTTGCGAACTTTGATTATCGCAATGCGAATATGTAAATCGCAATGCGATTGTCGAAGTTCTCGTTGCGATTTATTCTAAATTCGTTGCGATAGTCTAAAATCGCAACGACTGGTGATATTGCATTTGTTTCTTAAAAATTTTCTCTAAAAAGATAGTATTCGCGCGGACGTGTCGAAGACACGCACTACCACTACCACTACCACTACCACGACACGACCCGAGACGAGACGGCGGAGGCAGCGGTGGCGCGCGCGCGAGAGTCCCCCTTGTTCTCTATCACTCAACAAGGAAGTGGGAAAGCCAAGCCTTAAATACTATTCCCAATAGTGTTTTCAATACTATGTGGGATTGAGCATTACCAACACTTGTTCCCAATATTATGTGGGATTGAGCCTTAAATAGTGATATTATTTTTGAATGTTTTGCTTAAAATTACAATAATCGCGATTGATTGTAGATTGACTTTTAATTATGACATATTTAATTGTATAATACTAATGTAATTGGTTGCTGATTCAGTTGTTTTAAGGTGCATGATTGTTAATTGTTTCATGAATAATCACATTGTATTGGAAACAAGTGTTGGTAATGCTCAATCCCACATAGTATTAGAAACACTATTGGGAATGGTATTTAAGGATTGGTTTTCCTACTTCTTTGTTGAGTGATAGAGAACAAGGGGGACTCTCGCGCGCCGGCGCCGCCGTCTGTCTCGGGTCGGGTCGTGGTCGTACGTGTCTTCGACACGTCCACGTGAATACTATCTTTTTAGAGAAAATTCTTAAGAAACAAATGCAATACCACCAGTCGTTGCGATTTTGGACTATCGCAACGAATTTGGAATAAATCGCAACGCGAACTTCGACTATCGCAATGCGATAGTCGACTATCGCAATGCGAACTTGGACTATCGCATTGCGATTTACATATTCGTATTGCGATAGTCCAAGTTCGCAAGTTCGCATTACGATAGTCGAAGTTCGCATTGCGATAGTCGAAGTTCGCGTTGCGATAGTCGAAGTTCGCGTTGCGAATCTTGAAACTGATTTGCGATACCGGAGATCGCGTTACGAATTATCGATCGCATTACGCTTTAGTTGGTTATTTTGGCAAATCCAAAAAAAATTAATTAAAATCATATATTATAAAACATTTTTAGTCATTGAAATTATTTTCTCTTAATTTAATCACTGATCGAACTGAATATTTGTTGTTACGAGCCATATTTGTTTTTTCGGTTTGTAGGAATGGCTATGATGTTAAAAATGATATATTTTGGTGGATATTCATTGCATTATATTAATAAAAATAGCGGGAAAATAAAAAGAAAAGGAGAATAAAACCAAAAAGGCGATATAGATAAGACTAAGAGAGATGGGTGAGGATTCAGTTCACCATCTCCATCACCTGACTTGCTTTCCTCTTCGGAAAGCGCGTAGCCGTCCGGTACTCCTTGTCCTTATTTGTTTACCTTCTACATCCACCAATTTGTCCTCATTTGAAAATTCTAAAAATAAATGGATCATCTTAAAAGAAAATGCCATTATCGACATTGCATTAAATCATTTTAGAGAAAGGAAAAGAAACAATGTTTTTATTTTATTTTAGAGAAAATAACCTCAATCACCAAAAATCTCAGGTAATATACGATTTTGACTAATTTTTTTTAAATGAACAATAAAATCGCAATGCGATCTTTAATTCGCATTGCGATCTCCACTATCGTAAATTCGCGTTGCATTTCGCGTTGCGATAGTTGAAAATCGCGTTGCGATTTTCCATTTCGTGTTGCGATAGTCTACAATGTCGTTGCGATTTTCTACAGTTGTTGTTGCGAAAGTCTACAGTTGTCGTAGCGATTTTCCAAATTCGTTGCGATAGTTAAAAAAAAGATTTTGTTTCTTAAGAATTTTCTCTAAAAAGATAGTATCCGTGCGGACGTGTCGAAGACACGTATTACCACGACCACGACCACGACCACGGCACGGCACGGCCCGAGACGAGACGGACGGCGGCGGTGGCGGCGCGCGAAAGTCCCCCTTGTTCTCTATCACTCAACAAGGAAGTGGGAAAGCCAAGCCTTAAATATCATTCTCAATAGTGTTTCCAATACTATGTGGGATTTGAGCATTATCAACACTTGTTTCCAATACTATGTGGGATTGAGCCTTAAATAGTGATATTATTTTTGAATGTTTTACTTAAAATTGCAATAATCGCGATTGATTGTAGATTGACTTTCAATTATGACATATTTAATCGTATAATACTAATGCAATTGGTTGCTGATTCAGTTGTTTTAAGGTGCATGATTGTTAATTGTTTCCTGAATAATCACATTGTATTGGAAACAAGTATTGGTAATGCTCAATCCCACATAGTATTAGAAACACTATTGGGAATGGTATTTAAGGCTTGGCTTTCCCACTTCCTTGTTGAGTGATAGAGAACAAGGGGGACTCTCGCGCGCCGCCGCCGCCGCAGTCCGTCTCGTCTCGGGTCGGGTCGGGTCGTGGTCGTGGTCGTGGTAATACGTGTCTTCGACACGTCCGCGCGGATACTATCTTTTTAGAGAAAATTCTTAAGAAACAAAATCTTTTTTTTTAACTATCGTAACGAATTTAGAAAATCGCAACGACAACTGTAGACTATCGCAACGCGAAATGGAAAATCGCAACGCGATTTTCAACTACCGCAACGCGAAATGGAAAATTGCAATGTGATTTTCAACTATCGCAACGCGATTTTCAATTATCGCAACGTGAAATGCAACGTGAATTTGCGATAGTGGAGATCGCAATGCGAATTAGAGATCGCATTGCGATTTTGTTTGTAGACTATCGCAACGCGAACTGGAAAATCGCAACGCGATTTTCAACTATCGTAACGCGATTTTCAATTATCACAACGCGAAATGCAACACGAATTTGCGATAGTGGAGATCGCAATGCGAATTAGAGATCGCATTGCGATTTTGTTGGTCATTTTCGCAAATCCAAAAAAAATTGGTCAAAATCGTATATTATATGAGATTTTTGGTCACTGAGGTTATTTTCTCTTTATTTTATTAGTTTTTATGTAATTCCATTGTTTGTATTACCAAAGGCGTTTCTCTTAAATATCACTCTAACCCTATATATTTTCTTATCAGATACATTTGCGACTATATTTCTCGATCTAACTCCATTTATAGGAACGCGCGTCCCTTGAACCGCGCTTTACGCCACGTGATAGAAGGCGCTTTACGATCTAAAACCCGGGTGTTAATTTTATAAATATTTATAAACGGGTGTCAAATACATCTTTAATTTCTATTATGGTGACATTTGTGTAAAAATATCAGCATAAACACCCCATGCACAATTCCAGGTGAGAGTTCTTGTCACAAGTTAATAAAGTGGACAATGTGTGTAGAGGTTGAGTTTATTAATATTTTAATGTGTAACAAGTTTTTTTTATAATAATAAATATTTTATAATTTAAAAAAGAGAAAATAACCTCAGTGACCAAAAATCCTAGATAATATACGATTTTGATCAACTTTTTTTGGATTTGCGAAAATGACCAACAAAATCGCAATGCGATCTCTAATTCGCATTGTGATCTCCACTATCGCAAATTCGCGTTGCATTTCGCATTGCGATAGTTGAAAATTGCGTTGCGATTTTCCATTTCGCGTTGCGATAGTCTACAGTTGTCGTTGCGATAGTCTACAGTTGTCGTTGCGATTTTTCAAATTCGTTGCGAAAATTCGTTGTGATAGTTAAAAAAAAAGATTTTGTTTCTTAAGAAATTTCTCTAAAAAGATAGTATCTGCGCGGACGTGTCGAAGACACGTATTACCACGACCACGACCACGACCACGACCACGACCATGAGACGGACGGCGGCGGCGGCGGCGCGCGAGAGTCCCCCTTGTTCTCTATCACTCAACAAGGAAGTGGGCAAGCCAAGCCTTAAATACCATTCCCAATAGTGTTTCCAATACTATGTGGGATTGAGCATTACTAACACTTGTTTCCAATACAATCAGGAAACAATTAACAATCATACACCTTAAAACAACTGAATTAGCAACCAATTGCATTAGTATTATACGATTAAATATGTCATAATTAAAAGTCAATCTACAATCAATCGCGATTATTGCAATTTTAAGCAAAACA